GCCCTGCTGCTCAGAGCTGGCATCCCAAGCCAACTCCTAACCAACGTCACTCAGTTGGCCCCACTGAGGTCTGCTTTTGAACTTTGCATTTTGTTCCATTGATTGGCCTATCTTCATATTTGTACATTATTGTTTTATTTGTATTTTTTATTTTCTGTTTTCATATCTGTTGGAAGGTAATTTACCCACTTCTAAAAATAAACTTGTTTTTCTTTGTTTTCCTTAAGGTACCAATAGCTAAAGTAGTTGATAGAGTCCTTTAATGGCCTCATTATTCAATGGGTGCAGAATATAGTATTGAATGCTGTAATAATGAGCTAAAATAAGTCAGATTTTAAAAAATGTTATATGAGAATCATTAGCGAGGAACTTGGAGCCTCAGTTTCCTTTCCTCTATGCTCTACTCTGTAAGATGTATGAATATGTGAAGGTATTAATCTTTAAATTATTATTTCTGTAAAAATGTATTTCTCATTATATGTTATCTTCAAGAAGCAATATAGTATGTTATTAAGAACATGGATGTAGGGAGATAGCCGGTTAGCTCAGGTGGTTAGAGTGCAGGGCACAGTGCTCATAACACCAAGGTTGCCGGTTAGATTCCCACATGGGCTGCTGAGGTGCGCCCTCCACAACTAGATTGAAACAGCTGCTTGTCTTGGAGCTGATGGGTCCTGGAGAAACACACTGTTCCCCAATAAAAAAATTAATAATAATAATAATAATAATAATAAACCCCAAAAAAACATGGATGTAGGGACAGATTGCGTGGGGCCAGATTCTTGCTTTGCCATTTCTTAATTGTGTGATTTTGAGTAAATTATTTAACTTAATATGCCGCAGTTTCCTCATTGGTAGGAGGATTGATTGAGTTGCTTACAAATAGCACTTAGAACAGTGCCTAGCACATATAAGATCTCTGTAAGAATTAGATGCTACTTTTATTCTGGATCAGTACCCAAAAATCCCATTCATAAAATATATAAATTTGCATTTTTGGACAAACCTGATAAAGATGATTTGAAACAATTAAATCGTTATCCTCTCCCCAGAATTTAAATGTGAATCCATTTTTAGCTGGAAAAATTGAACAACTGAGTAAAAAAGAAATGCCTGTGTTTGATAATAGGGTATATGTACAATATGTTTAAAATCGTACCTAGCGTAGCAACTTTCCTAAAATTTTAGTTTCAGATCCATTTCATAGGACATACCAGTTTTCAGTCATTAGGAGATACTCTTGAGTGTAGAACATACTATGTTTAATTTGTCTTTATTTGACTAGTGAGTACAGACAAAAAAGTTATACAACTTGTTTTCATTTCTACTTACAAAAGAAATTCTAAGCCTTAAGTTTGCTAACGAGTTATTTTGGTAAAAAGCTAAGTTGTTTTTTTTTTTTTTTTAGTCCTTAACTGTTTTTGGAATGTGTGCATATGTTTACTTTGATAACTGTATTTGTTTTTCTGCCCCAAGTCAGAAATTTTGTGAAACCCCCCAAATAGGAATTTGGTCTTAAATTCTCAGCTTTATTTTCCCTGAGCTCTCTATTGGTTAATAGTCAAAGTAAATATGACAGTGATTAATAATAGTGAATTTTACTATGTACATTCCCAGACGCTTTTTTCTTTTCTTTTTTTTTTACAGCAGAAAACATCATCTCCAAAAATAGCAAACCTTTCCCTATGAAGGTTTATTGTTAATAAGAATAACCAACTATTATATGAAGATAACATTTCTGCCTCCCCTTCCTGAGCATGTCGCCTCTCCCCTGCAGCAATTGTTAGGGATTTTTCACAGCAGACATTATTGATTTGCATTAATAGATCTACAGTTTGCCTTTTCTCTGTTGTGACTAGTGAATTCCCAACAGTTTGCTGACTGAGTTTGTATTATAGTATGTTTTCCCTGAGCAAAGTTAATTGGCCCATTTGGCAAATGAACTCTAGATTTTCTTTTTGAAACCCGTGTTCTCATCAACTAAGCTAAGTGTTAAGTGCCTGTAATATAAAGTGAATTAATATAACAAAATTCCTGCCTTCTAAAGCACTATATTTATATAGCATGTATAAATTCAAAAGCATTTGGTGAAGCTGGGGTAGAGGAAAGAGAAGCAGTAGTATGTGTCTCTTATTGACCATATGCATGTATTATTTGTGATAAACATCACATTTATTAAAATATTTTAAATAGAAGTTCTAAAAAGTCAGAACATGACTAAATGATTGTGACAATGATTAAAAATGCTGCCATCTTGGATTATTTAGACATGACCTGCTGTTAGTTGGCTTGTGAAGTATCGTGCCAGGACTGAACTGAGATTCTGGTGCTGGTCTGAAGAGCCCTCAGGGGGGCATATTGATCTGTTTGGGCTTCTGGATATTATCTTTGCTATCATTTGATAATTTTACATTAAACCATCAGTTTTGTTTATGGAAAAAAAGAGTTAATTTCAAAAGTTTCTTGAGTATAACTTTTTAATGTTTATTTAATAAATACATAATTATATAACACTTTGTAGTACTTACCATGTACCAGATACTGTTCTACAAATACTAATTTCTATCATACAACTATTAAAATGCTTTTATATGAATTGTAGTAATTTAATTTAGTGTTACATTTCTCTTAGCACAGCATCTTTCCTGATACTACTATGTAATTATACAGACTTTGAGTAGTATTCATTAAATTCATCAAATTATATTCATAAGTATAATTAAATAGAAATTTAAAATAAAAAAATTTTTCTTTAAAGATTTTTTTATTGAGGAATTAGGGGGAGGGGAACAGCGTTGGGGAATTGGGGAAGGGGAACAGACAAGTAGACAAATTGCTGTTTTTGTTCTTCAGTCTAGTTGTGGAGGATGTCGCTTCACTGGCCCATGTTGATATGATCATTGTGCTCTTCCCAGGTGAGGCAATCAGTCGCCGGTCATTGGTCAGCCGCTCACAGCGGCTCCCGGCCGCTCACTACGGCTGCTGGCCACTCGCGTAGCTCACGGCAGCCTACTGCAGCCCCGCTGCAGCCTACGCTGTTGACGGCGACTTACAGCAGCCCAGCTCCACATCAAGCTGTTTTTCATCATCTTAGCTGTAGAGGGCGAGTGTCATTGGCCCTCAATGTGGGATCCGAACTGGGGCCCTGTTGCTCAGAGCTGGTGCTCCCAAGCGAGCTCTTAACAAGCTGAGCCACTCGGCCGGCCCTAAAAATTTTTGTAATTATCTATTTTTGTGTTTTTTTTTTTTATTTCAGCTTTACCAACAGGGACGCTTATGTCAACTGGGCAGTGAATTTTGTGAATTGGAAGTTTTTGCTAAAGTATTGAGAGCTTTGGATAAAAGGTAAGTTCATTTTTTGAAAATTGTGGTAAACTATGCATAACCTAAATTTTACCATTTTAACCATTTTTAAGTGTACAATTCACTGGCATTAAGTAATTCACATTGTAGTGAAGCCATCAGTACCGCCCATTGCTTTTTGTATTCAGGAAAAGACCAAGTTCATCTTCCCCACTGTGGCTATTATGTAGTAGGAGCCATATGTAATTGTAGGTGACATGGCCCTTGTACTTGCTATTCTCTTCAGTGTTCTTCCCTAAATTTGCTTTAAATGCCAATTCTTTTTCCTAAACCACATTTCTAAAAAAAATAAGAATATAGTTTTTACAAAATGCTGCTAACCTCTAATATAAATACTGCCAAGTTGTTTTATTTGTTCAAATTAAGTAAAATTTGTTGAGTGCCTAGTATGTGTCAGTAACTGTTCTAGATGCTGGGGTTACAGCAGTGAAAAAAAAAATGTATGACATCTCTTCCTCATGGATTTTGTATTTTAGAGAGGGTTGATATAATAAAACAAATAACATGATTTCACTTTTCAGGGATAACTTTGAAATGTGGCCTCTGTACTAAGTCTATAGAGAAACTTCTTGGTTGGTTGATTAAAACTAATCTGTAAAAAAATAATAGATGAGAACTTCATTTTGGTAAAAGAAAGAAGGCTATAGAAAAAATTTGAAAAGCATTTTTTACTCTAAGAGAATTTAGTTTTCTGGGATTTGAATTTTTTATGCAGTTATAAATATGGCCATTGTAAAGGTTTAGTGGCATACCTCTCTTTCATCTCTCATTCATTTCATTTCACCAAATCCCAATCCCTTGTTCCAATCCCTTGTTAAGTGTTTAATATATTTGGAACTAAAAGCATGTAATTTGACATTTTTCCCCTTTGTTTAGAGCAGTGCCTGTTATTTATAGTTTTGGTTTTTAAAAAATTTTTATTGGGATATAATTCACATGCCATAAAATTTACCATTTTAAATGCTATAATTCATTGGCTTTTAGTATACACAGAAGGTTTTGTAGTCATTACCACTATCTAATTCTAGAACATTTTCAACAGCCCATGAAGAAACCCTGTACCCATTAACAGTCACTCCTTGTTTCCTTTTACTCCCAGTCCCTGGCCTACTATTAATCTACTTCCTGTCTCTGGATTTACCTATTGTATACCTTCCATGGAATCATTATATATAGTCTTTTTTTTTTTATGAGCTTCTTCTACCTACTATACTGTTCTCAAGGTTCATTCATGTTGTTGTTTTTGTGTCAGTACTTTTTTCCTTTTTGGCTGAATAATTTTCATTGTGTGGATATACTATGTTTTGTTTAATCATCTGTTGAACATTTCAGTTGTTTCCAGCTTTGGGCTACTATAAATAATGCTGCTATGAATATTCATGGACAAGGTTTTGCGTGGACATAGTTTTCAGTTCTCTTGTACATATAACTAGGGTATATACATATGATAATCCTCTGTTTAACTTTTTGAGTAACTTCTAAACTGTTCTTCACAGTGGCTATAACCATTTTATGTTCCTATCACCAATGTATGAGGGTTCCAATTTTTCCATATCCTTGCCATCACTTTTTAAAAAAATTATCACAGCCATCCTAGCGGATGTGATGTGATATCTCATTGTGTTTTTATTTTTTTTATTTTAAATATTTTTATTGGGGAATTAGGGGAAGGGGAACAGACAAGTTGCTATCCTTTTGTTCTCCAGTCTAGTGGAGGAAGTTGCTTCACTGGCCCAAGTTGGCACCCGGGCAAGGCAGATCAGTTGCTGGCTTCTGGATGGCTGCTCATGGTGGCTGCTGGCCGCTCACCCTGGCTGCTGGCTACACACGGTAGCCCATGGCAACCGACCTGCTGTCACCGGCGACTCACGGCAGCCTAGGTCCAGGTTGAGCTGTTGTTCAGCATCTTAGCTGTACAGGGCAGTGTCACTGGCCCTCATATGTGGGATCCAAACCAGGGCCCTCTGGTATCCCAAGCCAGCTCTTAACCAATGTGCCTCTCGGCCAGCCCTCATTGTGGTTTTGATTTGCATTTCCTTAATGACTAACAATGCTGAACATCTTTTCTTTTGCTTATTGGCCATTTTCTTTGGAGAAATCTCTATTCAAATCCATTGCCCATTTTTTAATTGGGTTATTGTTGAATTGTAAGACAATTTGGTTTTTAAAACTGTTGTTAAAAGTTAGTTTTGGGCCGGCCGAGTGGCGTGATGGTTAAGAACTGGCTTGGGACGCCAGAGGGCCCCGGTTCGGATCCCACATATGAGGGCCAGTGACACTGCCCTCCACAGCTAAGATGCTGAACAACAGCTCAACCTGGAGCTGGGCTGCCATGAGTCGCCGGCGACAGCGTAGGCTGCAGCCCCTGTGGCAGTGGGTTGCCATGGGCTACCGTGTGTAGCCAGCAGCCAGCGTGAGCGGCCAGCAGCCACGGTGAGCGGCCGTCCAGAAGCTGGCGACTGATGTGCCTCGCCTGGGAAGAGCACAATGATGGTGCCAACTTGGGCCAGTGAAGCAACGTCCTCCATAACTAGACTGAAGAACAAAACGACAGCAACTTGTCTGTTCCCCTTCCCCCAATTCCCCAGCACTGTTCCCATCCCCCCAATTCCCCAATAAAAATCTTTAAAAAAAAAAAAAATTTAGTTTTATCTTTTGTCGCTATAAATTGACACATACAGGATCAGTCAGTGATCGACTGAGTAAAGATACTATGCTAAATTGTGAATTATTATGACCTCACAGTTCATAAGGCAAGAAGCTTTTTATATTATTTCCATCTTGGAAAGTAATGGTACTATTATTTTTAAAAAGCAAGCTAACGTTTTCTGAAAAGACAAACTATGTTACATTTATAGAATAACCTTTTCCTTCTCTTTCAGACATTTGCTTCATCATTGTTTTCAGGCTTTGATGGATCATGGTGTGAAAGTTGCTTCAGTCTTGGCCTACTCATTCAGTAGACGGTGCTCTTATATAGCAGAATCAGATGCTGCAGTAAAGGAAAAGGCTATTCAGGTTGGCTTTGTTTTAGGTAAGTAATGGTAGAATAGAGGAGTGTTGTGTCCTGTGTGACTTGGCTCAGAATAAGACCTGCCAACAATAAAGGATTCTCCCAGGATATTCCCAAAGTCTACATAAGGAAGTTGTGAGAAAAACATGAGCAAAACTAGGTGTGATTTATTGAACATTAACTTTGTGCCAAGCACTGTACTAGGCATTTAAATGCTGTCTTTCTGAATCCTCACGACATTTCAGTGATGTATTAGTATTTAGATCATTTTACAAATAAGGAAACAGACTCAAAAAATGTTAAGTAACTTGGTCAAGTCCCATAGCTAGTAGTGGAGCTAAGTTTAGAGTCCTGTATCTATATGATTTCAAGCCACATATCTCTCTACCATGTCATGCTGCCACCAGCCTCTTTTACCAGCTTACTGTCTGCTGTGATGTAGGACTTAATTCTTTCTGGGCCTCAGTTTTTTCATCTCGAAAATGATGGTAATTTTGTACTTCCTCATGAAGGTGTTATGAGAATACTGACAACATAAATGGAAAAGGATTCTGAGAAGGTTTTGCATGCTATATATATATAGAAAAGTATTGTTTAATGTTTGTATAATATTTTATATGGTTTTCACCAAGCCTACATAGGCAAGTATGTTTCAGGCAATGACTTAAGGTTGTTGCTGCCTTTCTTTAAAAAAAATTTTTCTGATTTTGAAATGATTGTAGATTCATAGACAATACCAAAACCAGGAAGTTGACACTGGTTTAATACTTATAGCTAAATGACAAGCCTCATTTATTTTTTACCAGTTTTTACATCTACTTGGTGTGCGTGTGCGCGCAATTGATTCCATGTAAAGATTGATATAACTATCATTGCCACTAGGATACATGACTGTTCCATCACCACAGACTACCTTTCATTTTTAACTTCTCAAATTAATGTGTGCATGCACATGTTTTCTCTCTCACGTACGTACACATACACTTTCATTGCTAACGAGCTTTCATGATCATTTCCTTTAGTCTTAGAATAATTCTTTGTAGTGATCATAGACAGTTCGCTGGAGGAACTTCAGAACATTCTTTTCTGAAAAGAACCCTCAGCATTTATCCTTTGATCGTCCCATGGAATTTAAATTGCTACAGAATTGTGACCAAAGAAGGTCTGTAACAGGAGTGTGTTTGTGATTTTGACATATGTTAAGATTGACATCCTATTAGTCATACATGGTTATGTAATGCTCTGGGAGAAATTTAGTATCAAGTAAGGTAAAAGGCAGGAAGGCTAGTGTTCATTGAGCTCCTCTGTCATCTCCACAAACACTTAGAACAATCTGATCATTAAAATGAGCCAGATTGAAGAAATATCTTGGAGATAGAACCAAGTCCTAAACTCAGTGATATTATCAGTCTTGATCCTTAAATTACCAAAACTGTGAAAAAACTTCATACCAGAAGTATACAGTGATGGATATAATTTTTTAAATAACAGCTTTATTGAGATATTATTCACAGTTCACCCATTTAAATTATTCAATTCAAAGGTTTTTAGTGTATTCACAGAGTTTTGAAAACATCACCATGGTGAGTTTTAGAACACTGTCATCACCACCAAAATAAACCCATACCCATTGGCAGTCATTTTTTATTTCCTTCTGACACCTCTAGCCTAGGCAACCATCAGTCTACTCTCTATCTCTATATGGACATTTTATATAAATGGACCCATAAAATACATGATCTTTGTGACTGGCTTGTTTCATTTAGCATCATAATGTTTTCAAGGTCTTCCATTTTGTAGAGATAGAAGTTAATATAAAGAATTTTTAAACAAGTGTTAGAGAACTGGAAAAGACAAAAAAGGAACACTTGGGTCTTATGGACATAGCAACTGGAAGAATCAATTATCACACTTAGGGCTTGGGGAGTCAAGGGATGGGGCTGGAGTTATTAAGCTTGAGGGGGTGCCTCAGAGGGATACTGCTGGGCTATAGGTGCCTCAGCTCTGAGAAGGGGCCCATGAATCTAGAACTTAGACTTTTAGGAGCAGCACGTGGCTGGTCGGTGCTAGTGTCTCTGACCTGGGTGCTGTGAATCTGGTTCTGCAAGTATTGGAAAACTGCAACCGGACTTGGCTTACAGGAATGAATTACTACTGCTTGAGTACAGAGCATTACTCTGGGGGCATTATTGTCAGCAGGAGCCTTGAGGACAGAAACTGGAAGCAAACCGGAAGGAGTGTCTCTTATCTCTCTCCCCGTCCTTCTCCCCCCCGCTTTCCATCCCTCCTTCTCGCCCTCCTCCTGTCCTCCCCTCCCCTCCCTCTGGTATAATAACCATATTTTTCAGTTACTTGGTGAGATCCCTATAATGTTCTAAAACACGCTTTTGTTCAATTAAAATATTAGTTTGATTACATATAGCTTAAATTAAACATAAAACATGGGTCTGAGCAAAGTATAATATTTTCTTGACTCTGACACTGTTAAGACTTTTGACACTTAAAAATATTAAACTATCATGAGGGGTCAAGAGCCTCTGAAAAGATGAATAATATTCTAAGAAAAAGATATCCAGTACATTAGGATTGTTGGAGGACAGCAGTTTAAATTTTAGCTAAAAATATGAGATGAACAAGCGTCACCATCTCTTACCTATGTATCCTCAATGATGTGCCACTGTACTAAGAAGGTTAAGTTGATTCAGATTTGTTTATCTTCTTTGGGATTTGATATGGAGAGATTGGAAAGTTATGTTTATCCTTCAAGATGAAAATATTAGAATTATTAGAATGTAATGGCTAATTAACTGGAAAATCTCAACTCTTAGTTCATAAATTATTCTTAGAGTGTTAATATTCTTCACTCGGTATTCAAGGGTCAATTTTGATCTACTTCCCCTAATTTGAAAGTTTAAAAAAAAAATTCACAATTAGTATTCTTGTTTTGAGCAAAACACAGGACTTTAATATCGTTGGTTTGGTTTTGTTTTTTCATTTTAGATGGCATTCATTATAAACATGTCATTTTGACTTTTAAGTGGTTTATTAAATTATCTAAAGTGATTGGTTTTTCTTGTCCTTTAGGTGGCTTTCTTTCCGATGCAGGCTGGTACAGTGATGCTGAGAAAGTTTTTCTGTCCTGCCTTCAGTTGTGTACTCTACATGATGAGATGCTTCATTGGTTTCGTGCAGTAGAATGTTGCGTGAGGTGAGTTGGAACAGATCCTACAATTACATGCTATAATGGTTCTCAGTGGCTTTTATAGTTTTAGCTATAATGGTCCTCAGTGGCTTTTATAGTTTTAGCTCTTCTAAACATACTTCAATATTTGAATAAACCTCTGAAGTGATATTTCTATGTCACAGTTTCACTGGACTGGCCTCCACAGTCTCTCATCCCCAAAATATAGTTAACTTGCTATAGTTATCTTAGCTTAGATTTCAGTATTATGAACCAGACTATGTATATATATTTTTGCTTCATCATAGAACGTGTTTGTTCATTCATTCAACAAATATTTATTGAATGCCTGGTATGCACCAGGAACTGTGCTGGGCATCAGGTGCTAGGAAAATAAATACACTTTTTTTGGGGGTGTAATTTTTTTTTTTAACCCCTGCTCTGTTTACATTTCTAGACTTGTGCATAACAAGATTGGTATTTTACTTATAAATAACTGTTGGCTTTAAAAATAATTTTTAACAGATGTACTTAAAGGAAAAGCAAGCAAATTTAGAAGTAACTCTTTTATTCTTATTTTTTATGCACATGTAACATTTAGTTTTAGCTATTTTCATATAAGTTGACTCTTTGTCCCCCAATTTGATTTGACTTTTTTCTTAAGAAGAATTTAAAAATAAAACTAAAGGGAAATTAAAATAAAGTTAAAACATAACAGAAATTCTTTATCCTAAGTTAACTAAAGTCTGGTCAATTGACTGAATTTACTTTTTGAATATTAAATAAAGGGTCGAATATCCTTGGTATCTTAGAGATAAGTTAATTAAATCTGAACCCCTTTAGAGCTAGAATATAGATTTTATATAAAACCATTGTTGATTTAAGCTAAAATTGAGTAAGCTCTTTAATTTTTTTTTTTTTTTAATCAATTAGAGTTCAGTCTTTTGAGGTTGTCATTATCCGTGTTTTATACAGGGCTTGCCTGTGTTAGATGAATATTCAAATCCTGAAGTTAATTTTGTAATGTGGAAACTTAATTATATAAATATTTTAGAAGCTTATAAAAATTTCCAGATATTTTAGAAGTACATGATAAATTACAGGAACACTTCAGTGCAGAAACTATAAAGGGGATGTTATTTGGGCCTATAATTTGTAGTACTGATAAAAAGAATCTTTCTCATCTTTCTTCCCCTCTTCTGCCTATTGTATCTTTGTGGGAATGGGAGACTAGACTATCCTATATGGGATTTGAGGGACTATTTAAATGTTTCTATGTATATGAGCTAGTTAATTTGGAACAGAAAAGCCATTTTGTGTGATTTCATTTTAGATTCCTCTTTAAAGCAGTTTTTTGACCCACAGGTAAAATATTTTCTTGTATGTGCTTGCTTTTTATTCATAGAATCAGAAGATTTATTTCACCCAAATAACTAGCGTTGATTTTTGTCTGTGTAATTTTAAGGCTATATAAATTTTACTTTAGTGTAATCAAAGATTTCGTTTTCTCACAGGACTAAAGTTTCTCCTCTTTTTCCTGTTTTCTCATCTTTAGCATTATAGCTCGCATCATTATGTTTGCACGTGTTACAAGCAGGGAGAAGGGCAAAGGCTCATGGCAGCTGAGCCTGCTTTTTCTTCCTTTTTGCAGTCAGGAAAAAAAGAGCTTTCCCAGAAGCCCAGCTATATCTCTTTTTTACCTGTCTTTGAAACTGGTAAACTGGGACACATTCTGCACATCTTCCAACCCGTGTAAGGGGATCAGGGGAGCAAAACATTTCAAGTTGTGCGTATTGTTGCTCTGAATGAACTCACGGGTCTACATTCAGGAAAGAGAGGAGAGGAATCTTGTCAACCCAGTGACTGTCCTGGCTGTCTTCAGAACAGACATATATGGAATTAGAAAAATATCTGACTAAGAAACAGAGCTATTTATAATACCAGCTTATGGCCTGTCTACCTAGATATTTTGTTCTGGTGAATTTGAAATTTCAAAATAATATTTGTTTCTACACAACTATACTTGGCCAGATTCTTGGTCATTAAGTTGTATTTAATATAATTTACTAATATATAGTATATGGTTTTGTCTTCCCCTTAGTACTACGTATTTGGAAAAAAGATTAAACTTTTCTTACTTAGCTTAGTTTTACGGCAGAAAGATTGGGGGGATTAATTGACCATGTGTTCAGTTGAATGGGAAAATAAGTATTTTGTAGAACTGATACTAATTAATTTTTTTTGGCCAATCCCAGGGGCTTTGAACCTGTTGCAAGAGTAAGAATTTGTTTTTTTCATTTAATAACACAAAGCCAGATTCTAATCGGTGGCTGGCGTGGAAGCAATATAGGGCAAATGTCAGAGAATTATCTTGCTAAATCTGGTACCATTGTAGTTGATCCTAGTACTATTTCTCAGTCCTTTTTGTATTCCTTGAAGACTCTGCCTATTTCCCTTTACTCATTTTCTATTTAATATCTTTGTTTTTCTACATATGCATGTGTCTATTGCTAAACAAATTCAGAAAATACAGAAAACTATGAAGAAGAAAAATATTATTTATAACCATACTGCCCAGAAATAACCACAGTTATATTGGTGTAATTTTGGAATTTTAAGTGAAAAAAGGAACTCCTGAACCGAACTGGTGGTGGGGAGGGAAGACTTGAATCTAGATTGAAAAAGAACCCTGAGCCCTAGGCAGTTAATTTCCTGAAATCCAAAAATAAATGAGTCTTTGCTCTGGCAGCATATATGCAAAAATAAATAGAATTCAGAAGCTAGAAGACAATAGCAGTATTGCAATTATTGAGAAAAAATACTATCACCAACTTTTAGGGTAAAATAATGAATTTTCAAATATACAGAGATCTATACTTCCATGTACTTTATTGGAGGAAAATACTCAAGGAATTTCTCTAATCAAATATGATTTCAATAACGAATCTTAAGGTAGGGGAAGATAGTATAGGAACAGTGGTAAGCAACGAATATTGTAATATATAGTTACATGTAAATGGAATAGAAAGAGAATGAAGAAGTAATTGGGAATTTGTAATAGCTCTTAAGGAGTTTTCCCAAACTGGAAATAAAAAGGAATTTTCGAAATAGCAAAACAGAAATTGTCAGTTACCACATACTATTAAATGTAAGGTAAGGGGTTTTTCCCTGACCGTTATCCCTTAATAAAGAGAGCTGCTGTACAGAATCCCTCAGGTTATATGATGTTTTTTCCAAGTCTATCATTTTGAACAACAAAGTAGTAGTTGAGAAAGAAATGTTAGCCTGAGAACTCGGCCATTGCCAGTGTCAGGAAAAGAACGCTGGGCAGAATTTTCTTTTTAAGAAAGTAATGGAATTTAACACATTTAGAATTATTAAGGAGATCATAACCTTATAGCTGTGTTAGGTATCTTTTAACTGGCTTTTTAAATATTGCTTTGAAATGCGATGCAATCAGTGGTTTGATTGTGGAGATAGGGATGTCTGCTTGCCTTAGGTTGAATGGAAAAGCCCAGCAGACCTAGTGTTTGCAAATGGTTGCTGGTACCTTGGGATAAAATATCTGGTGACATCATACCAGATTCAAAAGTGCTAAATATCAAACAAGTGAAATATTTTACTCTGAAAAACTGTTCGATGTCTCAAAAAGTAGTTATGTGATAATGAAGATAAATGTTTTAGGATGCTTGTGAATTGTTTGGATAAAATTGTTTCATAAATTGCAAGGAGGAAAATTTAGATTTTAAATATGTGTATATAATATGACATAAAAGTGATTTAAATATTATAAGTTAAAAAAATGTTGTATATGTCCCTAAAATTTGATATATTCAAATTGGCCAAAAAACATTTTGGATGGAAAATGGAGGCTCATGTTACTATATTCAGGTTGTTTTCTTTTGGGTATATATTATAGCCTATTTTAAAAATACACATTTGGGAAAGTGTAGTAGTACAAGTTATAAAAGTCTTATCTTAGTGAGTGGAAGAATAATAGGGATGGTTATATAATGACTTGCATAATGGATCAATATGATAGACATTCCAAATTAGGGTAGTGGGAGTAGGGGTAAGAATGATTGCTTATGTCTAGCCTGGACAGGTTTCCAAAGGGAATGAGAAAATAACTATGCTTAGTGAAAAACAATATGAAAAGATTAAAACCAAATATAGCCAATAACTAACATCACAATACATGTAAATGGGCTCAATTCATCTACCTAAAGATAGCAACTGCCAAGAGGGTTAAAAAATGAAATCCAGCTATATATTGTTAAAAGAAACCAAATATTAACAACAACGCAGAATTCAGAATAAAAACCATTAGTTGATACAAAGGAATATTGATATTAAAATGTACAATCCACAGAAAGGTCATAAATACGTGTATAGCAAACATGATAGCAGCCATTTACATAAGCAATGCACCCTAAAAATACAAAGAATTTGATAAAAAGGTAATTAATACAATGTCAAGTGCCTCCAGGGTCAGTTAATTCAGAATCATAGAGTTTATTAAGGAACTAGGTTTTTTCCCCATCTATCTGCTCCTCTATCCTCTGTGCTGGGTTTTTTTGTCTTTGGCTAACTCCCCAGTGGTTGTATGAATGCTGCTGTGGTTTGAGATGCCCCATGCAGATTCCACATTGTCCAGTAAAAGAAAGACTTCCTCCCCAAGCACCATATTTTATTTTTAATGACAGGGAGCTTTTCTTAGAAACTACCCAGCTGACCTACCCTTGAGTCTCATTAGCCAGAGCTAGCCCATTTGGTGATCTCTGAATCAATCACAGGCAAGCGAAATAGGGTCACTATGCTGTGGTTGCTTAAACTAATTATGAATACTCCTGAATCCTATGAGAAAAGGGGGTCAGCGCCTGAACAAAATCAGGGTTCTGCCAACAAGCAGTAAGTGGGGAAAGTGGCTATTAGTTAGGGAGCCAGCAGTGCCTGCTACATATCACAATGCTTTGCTTCCTGCACTTAAAATTAAAACTACACCAGATTGACACAGAAAAAAGAGA